TTAAAATAGAAAGCAGTTATTTTAAATAGTAAAAATATTTCACAACATTACTGCTTTTGCTGTACTTTGGATCAAATAAATGCAGGCTTGATGAGCAGATAAAACATTTTATAAAATGTTATACAATGTTATACTATGATGTTATATATATATATATATAACATTTCTGTTCCCCTGACTTCTGAAATGATGGCTACGCCCCTGCTCTGGGGTGAGTAAAACACTAATTTTAATTTTTGGGTGGACTAACCCTTTAAAAACAAGTTTTGTACTAATTATTTCGGACCTTTTGAGGTTGATGAGAATTCAGATTCGGACCTTTGAATGTAAACTTTGAGAACCCCTGATGTAGGCTATATTTATTAAGCAGCCATACTGGCATCTAGTGGTTAAACCATGGCATTACATAGGAATATTATTTTTCTGGCCACCAAACGTCTCTAATTTGCCTCTTTGCACTGGAATTTAAAAAACATTTTCTCTATTTAGCCTAAATACTACACTAATTGTAATATCAATAATAAGCATATTAGAAAAATATTAATGCTGTCTCTTCATCACTCCCCAGAATAAAATGCGATTGTAAAACGTAGTCAGCGTAGTTATCAATACACAGTAAATGCACATGATGTGTTAATAATCACTAGAAATTGCTGCAAATATAGTGAAACTGCTGTCTATCATACTTAAACCCATTCAAACATATTGACAGCACGGAGTTGTTTGGAACCATTGAGAGCTCCACGAACCACGTGACCGCGTGGCGGCGAGATCAAAGCGTGTCGCAACTCTGTTTCTCAACGGCTCTGCAGCGTTATAAAAGTCATCTTTCCAAACCCTGTCATCTGATTGGCTTGTTCCTTCAGCGATGATTCTGTACTGCCGTCTGATTGGTCCACCGGTCCAGCGATGCGTCTCCCAGCCAATCATTGCTCACTCTTTAGAGTTTCCTTTCTTAAGAAAGTCGAATGAGGCGGAAAGATTGACTTCCGTGTTTTTGCTTTAGTTTCGGTGTCTTCTCCTTCATTATGGGTGCGTGTATGGCCTTGTGCTCGCTGGCGAGCTGCGTAAGTCTAAAATATTATTTTGACTCAAATCAATGTTGTCAAATTTCATCTGGTAAAGACAGCAGCGCATTTCCCCCAAAACTTGTATAACCGAGACGAGTTTTACAGGTTGTTTCCTCGTTTTGCTTACGTAAATAAACTATAAAAACATAAATAAATGACTCAAGGACGGTGTTTCTTTATGTTTTTAGACTCTGTTTGCTCTCAGTAAGGTCATATTTGCACACAGTGTCTACCTATACAACACCTCGGCTGTAAGTTTGCCGAATTTCTCCGCGAGCGGTTCACTCGCTTTCCAGACCAAACATTTCCATTTTTACCAGTGCTGTTTAATATAAATGTTTAACATACAGGTCCAGGCTACTCATGTTCTTCCTGTAGTACGGAGAAATGTGTGTATTTGCTCTGTTGAGTGTTTCTTGACCAACTCTTTTCCTGCTTGACACAGTCTGTCTGTATTGTATAAAGCGCTATAGAAATAAAGGTGACTTGGCTTCCCATCACTGCAGGCGTCCTGTCTGTGCGGCTCTGCGCCCTGTCTTTTATCAGGATGCTGTCCTTCTACATACAACTCCACTGTGACCCGCCTGGCCTTCTCCTTCTTCCTGCTGCTGGGCACTATAGTGTCCATCATCATGATCCTGCCCGGCATGGAGACACAGCTCAAGAAGGTATAAGGAAAGATAGACCAGTGTCAGATTGAATGATTGATTTTTATTGCCCGGCTCTAAAACTTAAATTTGGGGACGTTTTAATCTGAGACCAAACATGGAAATAAACAAAACAAACAAATAAATAAATGTCTATATTTGTTTTCTAAGTATTGGCACCACTGGTCATAAATTTAGATATATTTTTGAAGGAAGTCTCCCATGTTTACCAAGGCTGCAGTTTATTTGATCAGAATACTGTAAAAACAGTAATAATGTAAAATATCATTACAGTTTAAAATAACTTTTCTATGTGAATGTGTATTTTAAAATGTAACTTATTCATGTGATGCAAAGCTGAATTTTCAACAAGAACGCCGCAAACTGATCAAAAGTGACAGTAAAGACATTTATATATTTGTACTTCAAATAAATGGTGGCTATTCATCAAACTAATTCTGAAGAAAAAAACAGTATCGTAGTTTCCACAAAACTATTAAGCAGCAAAAACAGTTTGCAGTGTAGATAATAATTGTACTGATTTCTGAAGGATCATGTGACACTGAAATTCAGTTTTGATCACAGCAATAAATTACATTTTAATATATATTAAAATAAAAAAAGTTATTTTAAATTGTAATAACATTTAATTATTAGTGTTTTACGGTATTTTTGATCAAATAAATATGTCTTTAGTGAGCGTAAGAGACTTATTTCAAAAACATTTAATTATTCAAAAAGTTTGACAGGTAGTGTAAATAATTATTTCTGCACTATTTCTATTCCTAGTTTATTTCTAATTAAATGTAAGTGAATTTCTGACATTCTGAATCTCACTGTGCGTAAAATGTACTTTAGGTTTATAAATATTAGGCTTCTGAAATTAGCATTAGTAGAATTATTCTCCTAATAATTTGTAGTAATGATTAGATTAGTTCCCTCTTTGCGGTTTTCTAAGCCTAATATAAAGCCATGTTTCAGTTGTGTTTGATGTTGAGATGGATATATTGTAGGTTGTGGGAAAATAACCTTAGACTACTAACAACATTACACTTCCAAAATATTTTTTTGCATGTTTATATTTGCATACTTGTATCAAAAGCAAGTTAACAAGAATATATATGTTTGTGTTCTCTAAATACATTAATCTGCTCTTTGGCTGGTTTGTTTGCCTTCTCTAATTTGTGCCGTGCTTTAGTAGCTTTATGAAACCGCAGCAAGCTTAAACTTATTTAGTGGTTTATACATTCATAATCTCACATATTCATAATCTCACATTTAAATTTTTCAAATGTTTATGTGTTTGAACATATAAACAGCCACAGTAGGTTATCAAGACTGTAAAGGGAGATTGAACTATTATATTTGTAAAGCTGCAGTTTTTTTTCTTTCTTGAATTTATCAACAGATCCCTGGTTTTTGTGAAGGAGGCTCTTCTATACCTGGATTTGAAGGGAAGGTGAACTGTGAGATCATTGTTGGCTATAAGTCGGTCTACAGGATGTGCTTTGCCATGGCCTGTTTCTTCTTCCTCTTCTCCATCATCATGATCCGTGTGAGAAGCAGCAAGGATCCACGAGCCACGATTCAAAACGGGTATAGTTTTACTATCTGCTGTACCAGCTGTGATGATGGACAGGGTGTTCTCAGTGCTGCCCTCTGCTGGTGAAAGCTTTTTTTTTTTTTTAATATGGAAAATTCCTTTTTGCACAATAGTTTTATTTTGTCCGGGAAGTCTTATGTAATGACCCGTGCCGATGTGACCGTGTATGTTGTTTTTCAGTTTCTGGTTCTTCAAGTTCTTGATTCTGGTCGCTCTCACAGTGGGAGCTTTCTTCATTCCAGATGGGGCTTTCAACACAGGTACATCAGCTGATCAATAAGGACTAATAATAGCTTAAAGGGATAGTTCACCCAAAAATGAAAATGTGATGTTTATCTGCTTACCCCCAGGGCATCCGAGATGTAGGTGACTTCGTTTTTCTTCAGTAGAACACAAACGGAGATTTTTAACTCAAACCGTTGCAGTCTGTCAGTCATATAATGGAAGTGAAACTTTCAGACGAATCCAGTCGGAGTTATATAAAAAATTTTATTTGATCTTTCAAGCTGTTTAAAGGGACCATTTCGACCTATCTCTCAAATGGACCATTGACACTCCTAATTGAGATTGTAGATAGTGTCAATGGTCCATTTGAGAGATAGGTGGTGGTAATGCACTTATAAGTCTGCGATCCGCCGTAAAGCAAGAAGAAGACGATGCTTCATGCGCTGGCTGTTGAATGCACTCAGGATGCGCTCAGGACAGTTCAGACATTGCTGTAAATCAGAGGTAAAATACTGTTCAGTTTCTTGCACAGACCAATCGTTTCGTGTCTTTACACATCAATGTATCGTCACGAGCCGCAAGGTTTAATTTGGTTTTGTTTGTGTATGTTTTTTTGACTCTCAAAGCCGTGATTCCCATCCACCTCCATTATAAGACTGACAGACTGCAACGGTTTGAGTTAAAAATCTCCGTTTGTGTTCTACTGAAGAAACAAAGTCACCTACATCTCGGATGCCCTGGGGGTAAGCAGATAAACATAAAATTTTCATTTTTGGGTGAACTATTCCCTTTAATAATTACATATTATTTGTTGTTGTAATTATTTTCCCAAATATTTTTCCACTTTTTAGAAGTTATGGTAAATGACCACTGAGTGTGTGGCTGTATTAAATATTAATCACTCTTTATTGACATTTAAAAAAAAAAAAAAAAGGTACAAAAGCTGTCACTGGGGCGGTACCTTCTCAAAAGGCACCCCTTCCCCTTTGTATCTAAAGAGTCCATATTGGTACCTTAAAGGTACAAAAGGTACCACCCCAGTGACAGCTTTTGTACCTTTTTTCTGAGAGTGTAGGTTGTTTTTCAGTGCTCTGTAGTTCCCAGGAGGAATAGCAGTTTCTTGTGTAAAACCAGATGGGAATAAAAATGTTGATAATCCCATACATACACCAGGATTCCCACTGTCACTGAAAACCAAATTTCAGGGAGTATTAAAATTGCAATTTCCATACCTGAAAAGTCTGAGTCTGGTAATTTATTGTAATCCTAAATCTAAATTTTGTAGTCAATTTAATTGAACTTTTTCTCGTTATGCTCCGCTTTAAAATGTTTCCTTGACTAGAAATGGCTCTTTGTGAGTGCAGACTTTATGAAACGAGAAATCCCTTCCAGATGTCAGGAGCAGCTGGTGAAGTCTCTCCAGTTCATTGGTCAGGAATGGATGTCTAACTTAGCCTACATGATGTCCGTTGCAGTGTGGTACTACTTCGGTGTGGTCGGGTCCTTCGTCTTCATTCTGATCCAGCTCATTCTGCTGGTGGATTTCGCTCACACCTGGAACCAGAGGTGGGTGGAGAACGCAGAGAACGGGAACAGCAAATGCTGGTATGCAGGTATGTTCAGCAGCATTGTTTCTCTGTTACCAAGCTTTTGAACTGATAAAGATAAGAGCTGAAAGCAGGTGTCATGTTAAAGTCACCGGTATTATAAGCTGTCTTTGCCATTTTAATATAACGTTCTCTTCTAACCAGCTGCAGCTTTGACAAGCAGTGGACCCTTTTTACAGACTGTCACTTCCCCAGTTATTATCATTATAAATCTTCCACAGTTTTATATATTTTCATTTAGAATTTTTAGTGGTAACACTTTAGATTAGGGACCAATTCGCAACCTATGGCACGCAGAGGGATAATCACTGGCACACGAGCAGTCGGGAAAACGAGACACAGTGGTTAACCAGAAAAATTGAAAATGGCACTTCATGCCCAAAAGGTTGAGACCACTGAACTAGTTGCTCATTAACATGTATATTACTAGCATATTGGCTGTTTATCAGTACTTACAAAGCACAAATTATTGCCATATTTTACATGACCATATTCTAGATCCCTTACCCTTACCCTACCCCATACCTAAATATAACTACTACAACAACTACCTTACTTACTATCAATTAGGGTTGCAAAAAGGTGGAAAATTTTCAGTAAATTTAAGAAATATTCAAGAAATTTTGGAAACTTTCCAGGATTTTTTTTTTTGGAATATTCCAGGGATTTTTGGAAAGTTTCCGGAAATTTTCTGGAAACTTTCCACCCCTTTGCAGCCCTACTATCAATAAGCAGCAAATTAATAGTGAACGTGTTGCTTAATTTAAAGTGTTATCTATTTAGTATATTACTAATAAATCCTAATGTGTCAGTGTGGGATTGATGTACTGTATATCGACCTGAGAATCATTTTCATGATAATATTTCAGCAACAGAGTTGTGGGTTTTCTGTCAGCTGTTCTGAATCATAACTGGCAATGCCAGATTCAGAAATGAATCACTCTTTTGATCTAAATGGATCTAAACGGGTTTGCAAAAAGTTCTGAAATTGTTTGCTATTCAGTTTGATTAATTTGGGCAGTTTGATTAATTAGTTTTAACCCGTTTCTTACACTTCAATAGTAACGGGATACCTTATAAGCGCTGGATAAGTTGAATATTTACCTACAATTCATTGTAGGAATTTAGCAATTTTAAGCAGCTTTTGAACGACTCTGTGCCGCAGGTAAAGACTATTTATATCCAAAACAGTGTTTAATAAAAAGAGTATCAAAATATAGGCACACTTTTTTTTTTTTTGTATTGTACTCACTTTATTTTGCCTGTGCCTCAGTACTGATGAAAAGCTAGAAACACCCCTGCTCTCGATATTTGTTCCTCTTTTGTAAAGTCATAGAAACCCAAGCTATTTTGTCTTTTGATATTGGAGCAAATGGGAATGAAAAAATACATTCGTTGACTATAGAAGTATGGAAGTTTACCCAACTGTGAACACTTCTGCTTTTGAGATTCCTGTAAATGTGAAAAGGGTCCACGAGGGACGTTTTGTTGCTCACTTGGTTTCTTTTTTTATTCAAAATCATCATAGCGGTATATAACATATCAGCTGATTGGCTACAATTCTGTTGCTTTGCACAGTTTTTTCCACTTGAATATTGACGGATGTGTGTGTTTTCTCCACAGCCCTGCTCTCATTCACACTGGTGCACTATATCTGTGCGTTTGCTGCTGTGGTTTTGTTCTATGTATTCTACACACAGCCGGATGACTGCGCCGAGCACAAAGCCTTCATCAGCCTCAACCTCATCTTCTGCATCATTGTGTCTGTGGTGGCCGTTCTTCCAAAAGTGCAGGTCATTCCCACACGCATTTGCGTCGCTTGTTTTCTTGCTTTTCTCACTGAATGGATTTAAACAAGATAAAACAGACAAGTCTATCCGAATGTGAACATTTCATGTCATCCTGCACACATCAGGGGGAAGTCGTGGCCTAATGGTTAGAGAGTCGGACTCGTAACCCAAAGGTTGTGGGTTAGAGTCTCGTACCGGCAGGGATTGTAGGTGGGGGGAGTGAATGTACAGCGCTCTCTTCCACCTTCAATACCACGACTGAGGTGCCCTTGAGCAAGGCACCGAACCCCCAACTGCTCCCCGGGCGCCGCAGCATAAAAATATGGCTGCCCACTGCTCCGGGTGTGTGTTCACAGTGTGTGTGTGTTCACTGCTGTGTGTGTGCACTTTGGATGGGATAAATGCAGAGCACTAATTCTGAGCATGGGTCACCATACTTGGCCACATGTCACATCACTATAAGCTGACAGAATGATTCACATTGTTGGTAAATGTGTTGCAGGAGGCTCAGCCGAGCTCTGGTCTGCTCCAGGCGTCTCTCATCTCTCTCTACACCATGTATCTCACATGGTCTGCGATGAGCAACAACCCCAGTGAGTCTCACATGTCCATATGACATTAACTTCTTTAATGCTTTTTTCTTTGTTTTTGTTGTACCTCTTGAGCTTTCTGATTTGATTTTAATAGATGAGAATTTAGTTCATATGTTGACCCTCATCTCTGAAAGAGACATCAGAAAAACACTGTCAGGTAAAAGTGTGCTTATATGGACAATAAAAAGTTGACAGCTTTTAAGAGTTTGACGTTAAGATGATTAAAACACAGCGCAGTCGGAGTTAAAAAGACACAAAAATTTAGGCGTGATAAGATTTTGTTTAAACTTTTATAACTAGAACAACGATGATGGCAGTTTTGTGAGTTAAATGAAGTGACATTTAAATAGGTGTGATGTTTGGTATCTGGCCAATAGGGTGGGATGGGGTATTTTTCATCTTTATTCACATAGTACAGTATAGAGAGGACATGGAAGCAATGTGGGACTGACTTGCCTAATTTATTTTGTTTTAAAAGACTTCAAAACCTCACCCTTCAAAGGTATGTCAACAAACTTGAATGTGCACAATGATTGACTAGCAAAGAGAGAAAGTGTCTAGGAGGCCATCACAGAAACAAGTGACATTTATCTCACAAAACCTATTTCAGTGATTGTTTGCAGAAATTAATTTTTATGTACATTTCCATTCAAAAGTTTGGGGTCTATAAGATTTTTGAAAGAAGTCTCTTGTGCTCAACAAAGCTGCATTTAATTGATCAAAATACAGTAAAAACAGTAATATTGTTAAATATTATTACAAATTAAAGGGGTCATATGATGCGATATCAATTTTTCCTTTCTCTTTGGAGTGTTACAAGCTCTTGGTGTTATGTTTAAGGTTAACAAAACACATTATTTTCCGTCACACGCTTGAGGTATTCAGCCAGTCACAACGCACTGGATAGCTGGCCAATCCCAGCACACCTCGCTTTTCAGACCGATTAGTTTTGTAAAAATCGACGCGTTTCAAAAAGGCGGGGCATAGAGGATGTACAGTATGTACAGTATGTGGAAAATGATGTGTTTTTTGAACCTTAAACCGCATAAACACATTTCATTACACCAAATACACAAAATAATGTTCTTTTTAGCAGCATCATATGACCCCTTTAAAATAACTGTTTTCTGTCACAGTATATTGTAAAATTAAATTTTTTTTATTTCTGTGATCAAAGCAGAATTTTCAGCTTCATTACTCGTCTTCAGTGTCACATGATCTTTCAGAAATCAATGCTGAAAACGTCTCGGTTCCCTGAGAGCGTTCACTCTGCATTGTGAAGCATTCGCAGTGGGAACTCCTCCCCTTCTCTGAAATCCCGAAACCGTATAGGATAACACCAGTACAATAAACTGGCCAATTGTCGCTAATTATTCAAATCGCATGCAAAAACTGATAAGACTGCAGGCAGTATATAATGCGTTGAGAACGACAATTGCCTCAGAATCTAAGACTGAACGCTTGCACTACTGATCGAGCAGCGATCACGGCGACCTTCACAATGTCTCGTTCCCACTCTCAGAGAACCGAGGTTACGACAGTAACTGGAGACGTTCCCTTTCGAGTGTTTTACTATACATTGCTAAGCATTCACAAGGGGAATGGTATACAATCCCGCCGTGAGAGCGGCAAAGATCAGCCCGAACCAAGGGCTAAGTCCACACCAAGCATGGGGTAGCACAACACACAATTCCCAAACAATAGTGATGCGGCTAGGAAAGCCCGCAACTGATAGGTGGAGCTAGACCAATGAACATCTTAACTCGGGTATACCAAATTAGCATATCTGGCCAAAATAAACAAGCGGCTGCACTGGATACAGGGCAGACACAACAACAGCAGCAAGGTAGCGCCGTGCAACGTACCAAAAGCAAATATAAAAATGTACACAGACCTGCACAGTGTCAACAGCTGTACGCTGTAACAAACTGTGCCCCAAATTGCAGATAGCAATAAACTAGAAGAATAAGTGAGGTAAGTGACTCACCGAAAGCACTTGAGACGCCAAGGACGGCACATCCAACTTGTAAAACCTGGCGAAGGTATTCTGTGAGGACCAGCTGGCTGCAAAACATACAGTGGGTACGGAAAGTATTCAGACCCCCTTAAATTTTTCACTCTTTGTTATATTGCAGCCATTTGCTAAAATCATTTAAGTTAATTTTTTTTCCTCAT